GTCTGACACTGAAAATCCGTTGTATTGTAAAATTCGTTATATCAAAATTCGTTGTAGAAAGAGTTGACTGTATATGAATTTATTAGTATATATGTGACTAATAATATTAGAAAACAGAAACTGTTATAAAGTCTGGAGTTTTTTTTATTTCATATAAATATGCAGATACAAAATCAACCAATCAAAAATCATACATGCAGATAACTGGATATCGCTACGTGATCATATTTGTGACTATTTTGCATAGAAGTATATAGTCTTTTATTACACTCTGGACTAATAATAAATTCTATGTGACAAATAAATAAATTACTATAAAAGGAGTATGTTATAGGATGCTTATTTTCAGAATTATACAGTATTTATTAATTAAAATTAATTTTAAATATATAGGTACTTTATAGTAAAAAAAGAGGAAATTATTAAAAAAATTAGTTTTATTTTATAAGTTAAATATTATTTTTTTTTTTTTAGTAAAATAAACCTAAATTTCAAAAAAAAAATTTTTGTAATTTCTTTTTTTCTACTGCAAAATATCTATATTAAAATTATATTAATTATTAATTTAATATTAAATCAATCTTCTGTAAATATAAAACTAAAAAAAATATAATATTTAGTATTTTTAATTATTATTTTATTGATATTTGCTAAATGATACTTTTTAAAATCAGAGATTTCATTGGTTAAAGAATATGTAATCAAACAGAGAATGCAAAAATCATATAACTGAAAAAAATTTTTATAGTGTATAAACGTAAATTATCCTTCGTTTCATTTCAGATAATTAAAAAAATATATGGGGTCTTTGTAATAGAAAGGGAAGAAACTCCAAAAAAATTAAAATTTTAGTTTATAAGCCAAAAATGTTCTAAATACTATAATTTGTTCAGATTTATTATTAATTCATTTTTTATTTTTTTGAGTTTCTTCTTTTTCTATTGTAAAGGCCTCATATGCAGTATACTTAACTCTCTTTACTTTAAAATTTGACCTGAATATTATTAGCTAAAGATCTTTCTTGTATAAAGTTATAGGTAAATAGAAGTAAAGTCTCTTTAAAAAATATATTGAATAATATTAAATTATAATATCAGTGCAAATTAAGTATCTAATTTAATCATATTAAAATATTAAGATACACAATTTTGTTATTTTAGCTAAAGTTAAAAACTTGATCTTATTTTTTATAATATGAGCTCTTTGCAATAGAAAGGGAAGAAACTACCAAAAAATTTTTTTTTTACTTTATAAGCTAAATATTATTTTTTTAACAAAATAAGTTTAGATTTAATGTTAACTCAAAAAAAATTTTTTTGGTAGTTTACTCCTTTTCTATTGCAAAGAGCCCATATAACTTTACACATAAAATATTATTAGTTTAGATTATATTTTTATATATATCAATAAAATAATATTTTAAAATTTTTATTGTATAAACATTAAAAAATTTTGTTTAAATTAATTTATGTAATCCAATAATAAGTTTTTTGTATATATTAAATGAGCAAAATATGTTAAATTTAGTTTATGACGTTAAATATCAAGTTATTCTGAACTTTAAGATTCAAAATAAGAACACTTATTACCAAGTAAATGTTCTAAAAAAATTACAATCACGTTAGTATAATCTTTAATAATTAAACTATTATTTTAATTTAATAAGTGATTTATTACCAAAGGGTAATTCATATGTTCTCATACTTATTGCAAAAATTTAAATCAATTTATTTTCATAAATATAATTGATATATTATTACATTTATATTGTCATATTTAACCTTATAATTAAAATATCATATAAAATTACACTGTTCTAGCAGCCTTGGATGAATTTTGAATACTACTTCTATGCTTTGTTATATCTTGCTTTATATTTTGACTATATTAAAAATAATCTCCTATATAAAAAAATGCTTCAGCAAATCTTTCTTCAGTAAATTTTAAGTATCAGCTGAATTACACTCTAAATTTATATCTATTTCTATACATACTGATAGAAATATCTTAAAAATACATTGTGTATCACTGTTTTCTTATTCTGCAAAAAGAAGATACTATCCAAATACTTACTTTTAAAATAAAAAAATTTTTCATGATAAAATGTGCTTCTGCATTTCCATTGTTTGTAAATTTTAAATACTATTCTATCGCTTCTTTTTTGTTTACATCAATTCTCATACTATATTTATAACAATTTCCTAATATCAATTGCATATCTTTATTACCTCCTTCTGTAAAATTTATATATCATTCAAATGCTTTTATTTTATTTTTCATTCTTATTCTAAATTTATAATATTGGGCTGTGAAGTATTATGCTTTGATATTTCCTTTACTAACAGAAATATAATACCATTTAAAGGTATTTTGTTTGTCTTCATCAGTTCCTTTTTCATTTAATAAAATTTTCATATGATATATTACATTAAGCAATAACCTTCTTTGGTATTTCAGATATATTCAAATGCTTTATTTAAATTTATCTTTGTTTCTTTACTATAATGATAACAACATGATAAATTATACTATACATAAGGGTCACCATCTTCTGTCTTTATAAAATTGTCAACACATCCACACCATAATTTATCTAATACCCTGCATTCATTCATTATTTTATTTTCATAAAATATGATCAATAAAATTTTATTATTTTGTGAATACCATGATTCATGTGGTCTTTTGATTGAATGTTTGCTGTGCAGTTAAATAGTGTTCTGCTTTCTTTCTATTTCCCATCTGAAATTATAGAAGATGCCCATTAGACTATTGAATTTACGTTGTTTATATGAGCGCTTTTCCATTAGTTGAATAATGTTGTTGAATTTATGTTTTTAAACTCAAAGGAAATTTATCCATTTGAGAATTGTAGGTGTAATATCTTCATTGGCTTTGATCTCGTAAGCTTTTAAAAGTTTTTGATGAAAGTCTGCAAGAATTAGTTCTAGAAAACCTTCAGACATTTTTATTTATTTAAATTTTTTTAAAAGAGAATAAAAGAGTTCAAAATTTGTTATGTAGAAGGAAAAGGAATTTAAAGTGTGTTATGTAAAAGGATCAAAGAATTTTTCGCGTCTTTATAGAGTTGACTTTGCATGTCAAAATGTCAAAAATTCCAAATTTAGATACCTTTTCTTTTTACAAAATTGATGAATTGCATATTAATTAAAAAATTTTTTTTTTGTTATGTCGTGTATTTACCAATTTTTTTGTTAATGATCCAAAAAAGGTGAACACAAAGATTAGTATGTGAACCGCAGTATGTCCGAAAAACACATGAACTATAATAGTATTGAAATGAATCTAGTATATAAATTCATAGTTTGCCAGCGGATAACAATTTAAAGGCAAATTTTGATGTAAAAAAAAAGAAGGCATGTATAAAAAACAATAATAAAGTTTGAATTAAAGATGGTTGAGAATAAAAAAGATTTTTATCGTGGTCATTGAATAAGAATCCTTATTACCTTTTAAATGTGGTGTTTCTAATAAAATAGTGTAACAAACATTTGGTCCTTACGTAAGTCGTGACTAATTTGATAGTCTAACATAAGAAGCTTAATGAAAACAAAGTTCCAGCGCACAACTGGCTTGTTTTAGAACTTTATGATGAATGAAACATTAAAGGGGTCTTATAATGCAATCAATGATGTATTATTTTACCGTGAGATTTTTTTTTCAAACATTTTGAAAACTTGATTCTTTTATTTGGGTTTAATATATTTCATTGATTAGCGGTTAACGGCATTATACGAAATCATCTCATTTTATTTTATTTTATTTTTATGTGTTTGGGGAATATTGTTCATAAAAGGTCAAATATTTGAAAACTTGATTCTTTTATTTGGGTTTAAGATTTCATTGATTAGCTTTTATGCGAAATTATAATTTTTATTTTATTTTATTGGGGGGTTTCTCCTTAGTATTGTTCATAAAGGGTCAATATTTTTCTTTTATTTGGGTTCAATTTCGTTGATTAGCGGTTAACGGTATTTATCATTTCGAACATGCCTCTATGCGAAACCATCTCAATTTAGCATTGTTCATAAAAGGAAATAGCGTAAACTTATCTATTTCGATGGACTTGGAAGAGATTTATCTATTACTCAAGTATGATTGGTTCGTATGGTTGGCCCTTCGTGATCCTTTTCACTATTCTGAATTCTGTAGTTGGCTTTAAAGCAAACTGATCAAGCCAAGTCTTAAAGCCCAAATTTGTAAAGGATAGTCCATCAATTCCAAAGGGTCCAACGTCCGTTTAAAGGCGTCGATAACTGTTCAAACATCTGATATCAATAAAAGCAATGTTAACGATTGCAGTGAATATAATTTCACATATTTGGTGCGCAATGCGCAGAAAAACATCTTTGTGTTCGCGCAAAAATAAAAAATCAAAAAATTTTCCCTGT